CCGTCCACCATGCTGCTGCTGAGGAGGGTGGTACCCCTGCTACTGATTCTGATTGTTGTATCCCTGTGGCCTTTGGTACGGTGCCATATTATTAGGGGGTCTCACACCTCCCATGTTTCTGTTGTTGAACTGTGGCTGGACTGGCCTGTATGGCTGCTGCTGCTGACCCCAATTTTGACCACTCTGTCTCAGGCCTCCATAATTAGACACATAATTCATGTCTTCAGGGTAGTGATGATGATCATGTTCTGCATTCCACTGGTTACCAATTGGCTGACTAATGCAAGATGCGCACAAGCCCCCATTGGTAGTGTCTACGATGTGTACCTGCTGCTTCTGCCATGTCTCTTCCACCTTTTTTATGAGTATACTCATCTGTGTCAATAAGGTGGCCATATTTTCCGCCATAGATTTGGATGGATCTAAAGGCACTGAGTGAACCACTGGGGTGATAGGTGCATTCCTGGTTATCCATCCCGAATTCTATGCCATCTTGTCAAGCAGACTTTGGCCTTCTCTCCATGTTTTGCTCAAAAATGCTCCACCAGCTGAAGCATCAACTATGTTCTTCACGCTATCTGACTATCCCATGTAAAACCGCTGTCCCAACATCAGATCTGGGACACCATGGTGTGGACATATAACCAGAAGCATTCCCATGTTTCATGCAAGTGTCTCCATTGGTCTTTGTTTAAAACACAAAATCTCATCAATTTGTCGAGCAGTCTTGTTGGGTGGGTTGAACTTGTTGTGGAATTGTTTGACTAACTCCTCCCAAGTTGTTATGGAATTTATGGGGAGTGAGTTTAGCCAGGTCTGGGCAGCTCCTGTCACTGAGAATGGGAACAACAACAACTTGATTGCTTCCTGAGTTACGTTGGGCTGCCTTTGGGTTTTGCATATTGACAGGAAATTCTTCAAGTGCTGCTGAGGATCTTCGACTTGTGACCCCGAAAATAGTCCCTTGTTTTGCAACAAGTGCAGCATGTTATTCGTGATTTGGAGTGATTCAGCCTGTATCTGCGGGACTACAATCGCTGTGGCCAGATTTTCAGCTGTGGGTTGTGCCCAGTCATAGAGAGCAGCCTCTGGCACAGGAGGTGCCGGTGGATTGTTTTCGTGATCTCCCATGTTCGGTCCGGGTTGTTCAATTGTTTGTTTCTGTTTGCTTTTCCGGTTGGCCCGGTTCAAGGCCTTGAAAACTTTTTCGGGATCTGATAGAGCTTCGAATACTTCACCAGTTCTCGTTGAGTTTCTAGGCATGCACCTGTGCAACCAAGTCAACAAACGTTAAAATTTCAATATATAGATTGGGTATAGAGAAAACTGACTACACTAAGAATTTTTGTATTTCTTTCAATTGTAATTGATAACACCGTTAATTCCCCGACAACGGCGCCAAAATTTGATCACGCCCAACTATGCCTTATAAAAAGGACACGCGGACGTTGCAAATATAATCTGAGTATTTAGCCCAGAGTCGAACCCACAAGGAATTAACCTATCAATTACTTTCATTAGACTTACTTAATTCCACGGAATCAATTTTCCAAACGTTTTAAATAACAATTGATGGTATTTCTACTAACTACGAATGAAAGTAAATAAACAGCTGAAAACTAACTATGATTGAGGTGTAAACAATTAAGAGAAGGTTCTAAGGTTATGATTTCCCCTATTGATGGAATCCCTTCCGGTTATGCTTCACATAGAATCGCCAAATCATCTCTATAAATCATGAGCGCTCCTCTTACCATAACTCTCTCCCGAGTAATTACGAGAATTTACTAGACGCTCTCTCCCGAGTTACGCTAGCTGGCTTTGTTTATTACAGCTCACTTTAGATTGCACCCAAGGCTTCGTTATCCCTAATCTCGCCTTTAAACCCGCAGTTATAGATCCCTCTTATACTTTGGGAGTGGTGTTGTTCAACAATTACCTAGATATGCACTCTCTCCCGAGTTATGCACACTAAATAGGCACAGCTAATTGAGGATACTGTCAATTAACTACAACAAGCACGTAATTGAACAAATAGAGATTAAACTGGCAAACTATATTAACATAATCAAGAAGTTCATCCTTCAATATGTTCCATCAAAACCCTAGACAAAAGAATTAGCTACTCATGCTAGTATTCATCACAACAATATTCAAATTCATCACAAATCGTAAAAACAAAAGGAAGAAAGGAAGAACTCGATGTTGAATTATCCTCTTTGCCTCTTGCCTCTCTTTTTCTTGCACTAAACTATGAAAACCTTGATAATGCCTCTTTGGGAGAGCTTGACCTTCTATAGGTTAAGTGAATTTACCCCCCAGACTTCCAAGTTTACCCCTGAAAATTTACGTTCCGGCACTGGGCTAGCGCGGCCGCGCTCGTGGGCGCGCTAATGGCCGCGCTAGTAGCCTACCATTCTCCCTCAACCATCTGGACTAGCGCGGTTGCGCTAGTGGACGCGCTAGTGGCCGCGCTAGTCCAGGCCTTTATTTCATCGATTCTTTTTCTCGTCTTCTCGCGTACTCGGCTCCTAGGGGTTTTTCTTGCTTCAACCTAGCTCCAATCATAGCTTTAAGGCCTCATACAAGCTCCTCACTCCTGCAACGTGCGAAATTCACAATTAGATCCCATTTTTCATCATTTAAATATATTATAACATTGAACCATAATCAAGCTGGGGCATAAACAATCGCCAAATTACATAAATCTAGCCTATTATCATATACGCGTATATATGTATATTATATGTATATGGGATATGGGGAAAAGGTTACGGTGCTATATAGCACCACCACCTGATCAGCTGGTATACATTGATGATTTGCCCACAGTGGCCGAGATGATGTGATGGGATGCCCTCAGAGGCATGATGATGTTATGAACACATGTACCTATGCACGACATGACATTCATACGCATATGCATAACACTATAAGTATTACATGATTTATAGAGTCATCCAGACTTACAGGTTGAGTCATTTACTCTATATTTCTTATATGTCTTTAATCCATGTTGAATTATGATTATGTTTCAGTTCTGCCTTACATACTCAGTACACTATTCGTACTGACATTTTTTTGTTAAGGAAGAAACATTCATGCCTGTAGGTATAGATAATCAGTTTGACGAGCCCTCATAGTAGACGAGATTGGAATTCAGCGAAGGATCGGTAAGACTCCACCTCATTCGGAGTGCAGCCGAGTCTATGAGTCATCGTGTCAGTGTTTTGCTACAGACTTATGGGTAGGCCGGTACCTTGTCCCATTTTATGTCAAATAATCTTAGAGGCTTTGTAGACAAAGGTTCATCTTGTACAGTATGTCAGAGGCCTTGACGGCCCATATGTATTCGTGTTTTTAGAAAAATGATTTAGTGATACAGTGTTTTTCCCACTTACGCTTGTACTTTACGAGTTATGGCCATGTTGGCCCATAATAGTAAAAAGAAAAAAAATTGCAGAGTAGTTCGCTCGGGCGAATGCGGCACCGGGTGCCAGCCACGCCTCCCCAGGTTTGGGGCGTGACATGCCATATGTGCTACACATGAGTCTTGTGATTTCTTTGACTGGACTTTAAAAGTCAGCTCATGAGATAAGGGTAGCTGAAGACTATGAGGGTGTTTGGCTAAGCTTATAAGCTGGTCAAACTGACTTATATATCTACACATTTGGTAAACATCCAAAGTGCTTATAAGCTAAAATCAACTATAAGTCATAAGTTGGTCACCCCCAACTTATGGCTTTTCTGCTTTTAAGCACTTTAGTTTGACCGTGACTTTTACTAGTTTATCCTTAATAATTTTTTTTAATTCACAAAATATTTTTCCCAAATAAATTTTCTAAATTTCTCTTCATTCCATATTAAATCAGCACTTGTACCCAAACACGTAACTACTTATTTATTAAATCAGTTTCAGCACTTTAAAGTGCTTTTCAGCACCTAATGCTTATCGGCTACTTCAAATCAGCTAATCCAAACGGGCTCTATATAAGAAAGACAACTGCCTGTTCAATCAATCTATTCTAAAAAATGTAATATCCGCCTACCGAATACCTAAGCATGGACAACTGGAGTATGAATAACATGAGGATTCAACATATGATAAATCATAGAATATGGAAGGACCTGACTCTAATATATTAGATGAGGATTACCAATAACATAATAAGACAACACACTCCTTTAATCTAAAGGATAGTAATAATATATTATACTAAATATACATTCTAAATAACTATCAGTTCTAGAATTTCATATGTTTATCAAGCTTTTGAGTAATCCTTCTTTAATGATAAAACAGTAATTGGGGTATAATCCTTAAGGCTTTAATTATAAAAATTCCTATTATCATCATCCAATATTAATTTTAAAAGTAGTTGTAGGATAATTTTGAATAGAAAACTAACTAACCATATTTTAGGCAAAAAAGTTTAACTACAGAGTGTGGGACCCATTTAAATAAAATAAAAAAAAAGAAAATGAAAAAAACAAGCTGAATGGCGTCTGACAATATTGTGCAATTTGCAAAGGAGCAAATCTGATTTTTGGTAACCAAATCTATGCCATAACAAAAACAGACTTGCAAACAGATTTGCAAGTTGCAAAACCAACCATTGTGATTGGTTTGATTTGCGGCAAGTTTTTCTATAAATAGCAAGCCTCGTTCCTCATTTTAGACACACCAAATCAGAGAGAGCGTAATAGAGCGTAGAGAGAGTAATTCACAGACTGTAGTATGTGAGATAAATGGTGAGTGGGAGTAATATTATAGTAAGGTGTTTAAAATAAAGAGTGTTATTTCTTTCGAAGTTGTAGTAGTCTCTTGACACTACTAAATTGTAATATTATAGTGGTAATATTGCTCTGCTCGGGTATTCTATTTTACTCCGTTAAAATATTTGGTGTCGTTGTTACTCTCTTGTGTTATTGTTATTTACCGTGGATATTATTCCTGGGCGGGATATTATTTTTTATCCCAACAACGTGGTATCAGAGCCATGGCGAGTAATGGTCCGCTGTCTTTTCAGTATCCCCGTCTCACAAAAGATAATTATGAGAAATGGTGTCTACGTATGAAAGCCATTCTAGGCTCCCAGGATGCGTGGGAAATCGTAGATAGAGGGTATGCAAAATCCGATAATGAGGAAGCTCTGCCTCAAAATGAAAAAGATGTCTTGGCAAAGACAAGGAAGAAGGATCAACAAGCCCTCGCGCTCATCCACCAATGTTTGGATAATGCCATGTTTGAGAAGGTGGCCGATGCTACCACCTCAAAGGAAGCTTGGGAGATTTTACAAAATTCTCTTCAAGGAGTTGACAAGGTGAGGAAGGAAAAACTTCAAACTCTAAGGGCTGATTTTGAAGTTTTAAAAATGAAAGAATCTGAATGCATTTCGGATTATTGTTCAAAAGTGAAGGCTGTTGTGAATCAATTAAGAAGATACGGGGAGGACATAAAAGATGTCCGTGTGGTACAAAAGATCCTTCGCACTTTAACACCTAAATTCGATTTTGTGGTGTGTGCTATTGAAGAGTCTAAAGATTTAGACTCAATGTTGGTGGAGCAATTGGAGGGTTCTTTACAGGCCCACGAAGAAAAGATCAAAAGGAGACAAGAAGTGCCATTGGAGCAACTTCTTAAAACTCAGGCATCCTTCAAGGATTATGGAGGTGAAAAAAGCTATCGAGAGAATGGACGAGGACGAGGCCGTGGCGGTCATGGAAGAGGAAGAAGTAACGGTAACAACTTCAACAATGAAGCTAAAATCCACCAAACACTCAGAGGTCGTGGTCATGGACAAAGAGGAGGAAGAGGACGTGGCTACTACCAAGAAAATAATGGACAAAGGTATGACAAATCAAAAATTGAGTGTTATAATTGTCATAAATTTGGCCATTACTCTTGGGAATGTCGTAGCAATGTTGAAGAAAAAGCTAACCTTGTTGACGACAAGAAAGAAGAAGTTGAGTCAACATTGTTGATGGCACTCAAGGAAGAAGACAGGGATGATTGCAGCTCGTGGCATTTGGACAATGGAGCAAGCAATCATATGTGTGGGTGCAAAGAAAAGTTTGTGGAGATCAATAAAACGGTGAGAGGTAATGTGTCCTTTGGAGATACCTCAAAGATTCAAATCGAAGGGATAGGTACATTTTCGATCTCCTGTAAAGATGGTAGTCACAAACTAATTCAAGATGTTTATTATGTGCCAAAATTAAAAAGTAATATTTTGAGTTTGGGACAACTTCTTGAAAAGGAATATGACATCCACATGAAAAATATGCATCTTTGGCTTAGAGATTCAAGTGGAATTCTAATTGCTAAAGTGCATATGGCAAAGAATAGATTATTTTCTCTGAATCTTAAAATAATTGATGCAAAGTGTTTGAAGGCTAATGTGCAAGATGAATCATGGTGTTGGCACATGCGATTTGGGCACTTGAATTATGAAGCGCTCAAATCAATGGGAGAAAAGAACATGGTACATGGGATACCATCAATCAACCATCCAAATCAACTGTGTGAAGCTTGTCTTCTTGGAAAACATGCGAGGAGTTTTCCAAAGGAGGCCATGTCAAGATCAACCAAACCACTCCAGCTTGTTCACACTGATGTGTGTGGACCAATCAATCCACCTTCTTTTGGTAAAAGTAGATACTTTCTGCTTTTCATTGATGACTTTAGTAGAAAGACTTGGGTTTATTTCTTGAACCAAAAATCTGAAGCTTTGGCTGCTTTTAAAAATTTCAAAGTACTTGTGGAGAAAGAAAGTGGCTATGAAATTAAAGTTCTAAGGTCTGATAGAGGAGGCGAATTCACTTCAAACGAATTTAATGACTTTTGTCAGTCTCATGGAATTCGTCGCCCTCTAACGATACCTTATTCACCCCAACAAAATGGAGTTGCAGAGAGAGAATCGAACGTTTCTTAATATGGCTCGATGTATGTTGAAAGCTAAAAGTATGCCCAAGGAATTTTGGGCCGAAGCTGTTTCTTGTGCAGTTTATTTGAATAACAGGTCTCCAACAAGAAATGTTAGAGATCAAACTCCTCAAGAAACATGGTGTGGAAGAAAGCCAAGTGTCAAGCACTTGAGAATCTTTGGGAGCATAGCCTATGCTCATCTGCCACATCAAGGGAGAGAAAAGCTTGACGATCGAAGTGTCAAGTATGTGTTTGTTGGCTATGATACGAGTTCAAAAGGCTACAAGTTATACAACCCAAGCAGCGGTAAGGTGGTGGTAAGTCGCGTTGTTGAATTTGATGAAGAATTGGCATGGGATTGGAAAGCTCAGGAAGAAACTTCATACGATTTTTTTCCATATTTTGGTGATGAAGAAGAACCAGAGACCGTGGAACCTGTGCAGGATACAACTCCACCTCCTTCTCCAACCAATGTTGCATCTCCCTCTTCTCAAGAAAGTTCAAATGAACAGCCGCAAAGGACAAGGAGTATTCAAGAGCTCTATAAGGACACAGAAGAAGTTACTAATTTTGAATTTTTATGTTGTCTCTTTGCTGACAGTAAACCAATGAACTTTGATGAAGCTGTTAGAAACAAAAAGTGGAGAGAAGCCATGGAGGAGGAGATTGAGTCAATAGAGAAGAACAACACTTGGGAGTTGACAACTCTTCCCAAGGGTCATCGAGCAATTGGAGTGAAATGGGTATACAAAATAAAGAAGAATGCTGATGGAGATGTAGAGAAATACAAGGCACGACTCGTGGCTAAAGGCTACAAGCAAAGGCAAGGCATCAACTATGAAGAAGTCTATGCACCTGTTGCCCGCATGGAGACAATTCGTTTGCTGATCTCTTTGGCGGCGCAAATGAAGTGGAAGATCCATCAACTAGATGTCAAGTCAGCCTTCTTAAATGGCTATCTTGAAGAAGAAGTCTATGTTGAACAACCATTGGGCTTCGTGGTCAAAAACCATGAAGATAAAGTGTTGCGGTTGAAGAAAGCTTTATATGGATTAAAGCAAGCCCCACGAGCATGGAATAGTTGCATCGACAAGTATTTTCAAGACAATGGGTTTACTCGTTGTCTCCATGAATATGCTCTCTACCTTAAAGTTCATACTAATGAAGATATCTTGCTTGTTTGTCTTTATGTTGATGATCTTATTTTCACGGGCAATAACCCAAGTTTGTTTGAAGCTTTTAAGAAAGATACGTCCCGTGAGTTTGAGATGACAGACGTAGGGCTCATGTCATACTACTTGGGCCTAGAAGTGAAGCAGATAGAGGATGGAATTTTTATCTATCAAGAAAGCTATATAAAAGAGATATTGAAGAAGTTCAACATGCTCGATTGCAACCCCGTGAACACACCGATGGAGAGTGGGACAAAATTGTCCAAGTTTGATGAAGGAGAAAAGGTGGATCCCACATTTTTCAAAAGTCTTGTGGGAAGTTTGAGGTACTTGACTTGTACCAGGCCAGATATACTATTTGCAGTTGGAGTAGTAAGTCGCTTCATGGAAGCTCCTACCTCCACTCATTTGAAAGTCACTAGAAGAATTCTTCGGTACCTAAAAGGTACGACTGACTTTGGGTTATTTTATTCTTTTTCTAATGATTTCAACCTTATGGGATTTTGTGATAGTGATTAGGCCGGAGATATTGATGATAGAAAAAGTACAACCGGTTTTGCATTTTTCTTGGGTGATTCTGTTATTTCTTGGAGTTCAAAGAAACAACCAGTTGTTACTCTCTCGACTTGTGAAGCTGAATATATAGCAGAAACATCTTGTACCTGTCATGCTATTTGGTTGAGAAGATTATTGAAGGAGCTCAATTTGCCACATAAGGAAGCTACGGAGATTTGTATTGACAACAAATCCGCACAGGCACTCGCGAAGAATCCAGTGTATCATGATCGAAGCAAGCATATTGATACAAGGTATCACTTCATCAGAGAATGCATTGCCAAGAACGAAGTCGAGCTCAAATATGTGAAGTCTCATGATCAAGTTGCAGATATCTTCACAAAGCCTCTCAAGTTTGAAGATTTTCAGAGATTGAGATCAAGACTTGGAATGAAGAAGAAAAATCAAAATTAAGGGAGAGATTTGTGGGACCCATTTAAATAAAATAAAAAAAAAGAAAATGAAAAAAACAAGTTGAATGGCGTCTGACAATGTTGTGCAATTTGTAAAGGAGCAAATCTGATTTTTGGTAACCAAATCCATGCCATAACAAAAACAGACTTGCAAACAGATTTGCAAGTTGCAAAACCAACCATTGTGATTGGTTTGATTTGCGGCAAGTTTTGCTATAAATAGCAGGCCTCGTTCCTCATTTCAGACACACCAAATCAGAGAGAGCGCAATAGAGCGTAGAGAGAGTAATCCACAGATTGTAGTCTGTGAGATAAATAGTGAGTGAGAGTAATATTATAGTGAGGTGTTTAAAATAAAGAGTGTTATTTCTTTCGAAGTTGTAGTAGTCTCTTGACACTACTAAGTTGTAATATTATAGTGGTAATATTGCTCTGCTCGGGTATTGTATTTTACTCCTTTAAAATATTTGGTGTCGTTGTTACTCTCTTGTGTTATTGTTATTTACCGTGGATATTATTCCTGAGCGGGATATTATTTTTTATCCCAACACAGGAAATATATCAAAACAAATTAATCACATCTAGGACAATATATTTAATTATGTGACCGAATGATCTGCCTCTTTTACGAGGTTATAAGATTCTAATTCCGTTTCTTTTCTTGTATGTTTCACAAACAATGACTGTCTCTCTCTATAAAATGTGAAAGTTAAATCCTCACTTATAAGTCACAAAAGAATGAACAAAGCGATTCAGAAATATGGCCAAGTCTCTCTATGCTGCCTTTCTTGCTCTCTTCTTATGCTTCCTCATTGCATCAACTGGTGAGTAACCAATATATTATAAATCATGCCTAACACTAACTAATACTCGTGAATTTAAATCATATTATATTGAGCGTGCAGAATTTTTACACTATCAATATAATATATATAACTTGCCATAACAGGTTATTCGTATTTTCCGAGTTATCATATAAAGCTCACTATGTAGAATTACCTATTGTTATAGGTCAACTCAATATCTATTGTATGGAAAATCTATACATGGTTAGTTTACAAAACTTAAACTCAATATTCTTTTCTTAGAGTTTAAGTTCTATTCACTGAATATGATGTAGAATATATTTACCTGAATCATGTCACTTATAACATCATTGCAGATATATATCTATTTCAATAATCTCTTAATAACAACAACGACACCAATAAACCCTATATAATTCCACAAGTGGGTCTGGAGAGGGTAGTATGTACGCAGACCTTACCCTACCCGGTGAAGGTAGAGAGGTTGTTTCCGATAGACGTCGGCTCCTAATAATCACTTAATAACTTGATAGAAATGGTAACTAACATGCTATCACTTGTTAAACTATATTGATAGTGCACTAACTGTCTACGTATATAACTTAAATCCTATATTTCATTTCTCAATCAATATTTAAAAAATCAAAAAAAGTATTTTTTTAGGAAAAGAACTAATGTAAACCTCTGAGTTGTTACTTTCTATTGTATTAATGCAGAAATGCAAAAGGCAGAAGCAATTGGTTGTGAAACGCCCAGCGCAACATGGAAAGGGGCTTGTGTTGTTACTGAAGACTGTGATAACCAATGCATCAAATGGGAGGGAGCTATTCATGGAGCTTGTCATTTGGGATTTGGTTGGAGTATTAGCCAATGTTATTGCTACTTCTGCTGACTTAAAAAATGTCAGTGTATATAACTTAAATTCTATACTATATACGCAAAAATAAAATCCTTGTGGTGTGTAATAAGACCCCTATGCAGTAGGGGTTAGGGGCTAGCCTACTTGATAAACTCCCTACCTACTGTTGAGGTGGAGGGTTCAGATCCCATCAGTAGCTTAACATCCCTTTTCTGTTAATCGTTCCCCCGATGTAACGGAAATATGAATATAAAAAAAGAAAAAAAAACCGTGGTGTGTGTAATTATATGAGAGATTTGTAGAACACATTTGCCCAAAGTATAAATAATTTTGGCATGGTGTTTGCTCTTAATAATACCAACATCTTCATAATTTCATTGTCTTTATGATTTTCGTGGTGTATATTTTTTATGGTCTTTGCTGAAGTTGATTGAAGCGACAACTAGGTCCGTTGGTACTTTCTCTTTGGCTTATTTATTTTTTGTACACCAAAAATTGGTCAGTTTGACCCTCATATTGTGAAAAAATTCAAACAAATTGAAACAAAGAGATTACTAAAAACTCTACTTTCATAACAGAAAGACTAACTCCTAAAAAACCTAAAACATATTCCTAAAAATCAGATAATTAGTCGATTGATTCCAGTATCAACTCCCACGACAGAAGCCTCAATCCTTGAGTTGTTTATTCTCTTGTAAATTTTTTTCTTTTTTATCAAATTATTTATGTTGGTTAATTGACAAACTCATATTAAATTATAATTTCTTCTTTGATATATTTTTCTTTTCTTAATCTAATTTATCGTTGTCAATATTTGCTTTGTTAGCTTTCGTATGACACCTCGTTATTTCGATCACAACAAACACTCCTCCTGGCTCCTGGATCAAGAGATGCGAACTCCAAGGTTTTCTCCAAATCAAATGTAGCAACCACCTGATTTTCTGTTTAACAATAAAACCAGTATTCACTTCACCATTTTTCTGTACTTACCTCATAAATATATACTTGATATTGAAATGTTTAGGCCTTTCTAAAAATTGTTCGATTTAGGACATCATATGATATCAGCCACAAGAGGACTAAAGGGGAATGCAATTCACAGCTTTATAAGAAGCTATTAGAAACTATCAACGAGAAACAAAGAAAAAATTGATACTCCCTCTATCCCAAGTTAACTCGCTTTAGCTTAAAGAGATTGTCCCAAAATAATTGTTACTTTAGAAAATCAAGACTAATTTTTTTTTTTTCTAATTATTCTCAACTGATAGAAACTAAGCGTCCACCAGACTGTATAGAGAACTCGATTCTCTATCAGTTCCCACTGTAAGCAACTGAAAACCAACCAGTATAGGGAATCAAGTTCTCTAATTGTTCTCACAGTAACTCGGCAGTAATTAAAGAACACAGAGGATTTTTACGTGGAAAAATCCCAACTCAAGGGGACAAAAACCACGACCTACACTTGTAGGCTTTCAACTTCACCAACTTGTAAACACACTATTACAAGCCAATTTCTAATGACTCTATTACAAAGACTTCAACTCAACTAACTTGTGATACACTTGCCACAAGCCACTTTGTCACTCACTAGTTACAAAGACTTCAACTCAACTAACTTGTGATACACTTACCACAAGCCACTTTGTCACTCACTAGTTACAAAGACTTCAACTCAACTAACTTGTGATGTACGTACCACAAGCCACTTTGTCACTCACTAGTTACAAAGACTTCAACTTATGACTAACTCTAGTCACAACACAAACTCAGAAAGTTTATGGTTTTACAAAAGGGTTCCTACATAATACTTCTAACTAAGCTAAGTAGGAGTTACAAATGAAGAACAAATAACAAAGACTCAACAAATCTAAAGACTTAAGATATCTTCAATCTTTGGATCTGGTCCTTGAGGTTGCAGCAATTTTGTTCTTGAGAGAGGTTGTGGCTAGCACTTGAGAGAATTTTTTTTTTTTGATTTTGCAAGTGTTAGAGAGATCAGATCCCTTGCCTCATGTTGATAATATGTGTGTGTGATGTCATCAAGAATGATGTAATAAAGTGCCCTTTAGTTTGGTCTTAGCAAGCTACAACTGTGCTGCTGTACTGCTTCCAGACGGTACAGTGCAGCAGTCTGCCAGACGGTACAGTGCATCATCTTTTACTGCTGTAGAGTTGACTGTACAACGACGAGGGAAACTGATCCCTATCTAGTCTCTCTACTGTTTCCTTATCTGATTTCATTGAGAATTGAACCAGACATCTGACTAGTTATTCTGAATGCAAGGGAACCTAATTGTATCAGATTCCTTATCTTGTTCTCTCATGAAGTAAGTTTTTTTACCTTCCTTGATTGTATTTATACATGTGTGAAATCACTTACAATGATGTAAGCAAGTCAGGTAAAAAGCCTTCCACAGAAAGTTGACTGCTGCACTATTCCTGTACAGGCAGCAACTTTCCAGCTGGAGAGTTGACTTCATACAGTCTCCTCGGGAACTGGTAGGGACCTGTTCCCTCAGCTGTTCCTTCCACTCTGAAGAGTTGAGTTATATCCCACGCTGGATCTCAACTTGGAACTTTGTGCAATGATGTAAGCAAGGCAGGTAAAAAGCCTTCCACAGAAAGTGGACTGCTGCACTGTTCCTGTACAGTAGTGTGTGCAGGCAGCAACTTTCCAGCTGGAGAGTTGACTTCATACAGTCTCCTCGGGAACTGGTAGGGACCTGTTCCCTCAGCTGTTCCTTCCACTCTGAAGAGTTGAGTTATATCCCACGCTGGATCCCAACTTGGAAGTGATCTTAAGGTCTTGTAAATGTGTAACAGGTTCCTTATATGGTTCTGGATGGTAAGTTTGTTAGATCATCAAAATATAAAGTAAAGTACTTATGCCCAAAGTACTTGTAACCTATCAATTTCCCCCTTTTTGATGATGACAAACTTAGAATTGATATTCCCCCTATGAACCGGATCTCCAAATTGTTCCCCCTACGAATCAGCCATATCCCTCCTAAGAACGAAACCTAAGGAACTGATCTCAACTGGTTCCTCAAGACTGTTTGGCAAATCATCAAAACTCAAAATACCATAACTTATCAATTTCCCCCTTTTTGATGATGACAAACCCAAAATCGATATAAAACTTGAGAACCAGATTCCTCATATGCTTCCCTGCGGATCAGACCTATAATCAACATATTATCAGCAACATTCCCCCTGCGAAGCAGAGCTAGAGCTATCTTTCATGCACAACACAACATATCAATTCAATCCTGTTCCTCCCCCATGTTGACACCTATATAACTTCCGCCTTTTGGCATCATCGAAAAGAATAACAGAAGAAGCACAACCATAAAGAAGTTCGGCAACATTAACTCATGCCACTTAGGCAACACAACATAAATAATAACAAGAACAACAAGTGAATGTCATTGCACAAAATAGAGTGATTGCCCATAGTAGAGTAATTATAATAAAAGCACAGTAGTTTCAACAATACATGATATGACAATTTAAACAACTAAAGTACCAATGTCATCAAATATAGGAATTATAAGAAGATAAGAATTCAAGGGAATTTGGAAGGAGTGAAATACATGGATCACTGGGCAGGAGGAAAAGTAAGGGGCTAAGGCCTTGATAAGCTTGTCCATTCGTTCATTTACTCTCCTTTGATCAATGATCATCTACTCTCTCAGTTCCTCCACTTGTTTCCTCAATCTTTCATTCTCACCCTTCAACTTAGCATTCTATTCTGCCGAGGGTCTTCGAGGACCTGGTTCTCAACCTATCTGAGTAGGCTAAACCATCAATCAGAGCACCAAGAATCTCCCCAAGCTTCTTCTCATTAAGAACAAACTCAATCCCAAGCACATATAGCATCAGAGTATTACATAAAACATAGAAGTTTTTACTTCTTCTTCATAAATGTTGGGACTTGGAGGAACAAAGAGGTGATTCTATTTTTGGAACTCAACAATGTCAAGAAGTTCCTCCATTTTTCAGCAATATCAGAGTCAACACTCTGCCTAACAGCACTTTTTGACACATCAGAGTCTTCTACCTCTCCAAACCCGATGACTCAACCTTTTGCTTCTTAATGAACCAGGTTCCTCACTTACACTACCCTTTCTATCCCAGAGCAGCCATGTCTCCCTCTTCTTCTTCTTCTCAATCTGTGTACCCTTATCATCTGCTGCATCTTTCTCAGCCAACTTTCTTTTCTCCATTTTTTTAATTTTTTTTATTTTTTTTACACTTCATTTTCTATTCCACAATCACATCAGTATGTCACACCACTTCATCATCAATAAACCTACTTTTCATCAATCCTTTTTACTGGATCAGAAGTTCGTTTAAACACAGAACTCAAAAAGAAAAAGATCATCATTAAAATTGACTTCCCGAGAAGGACTTGAGGGATCTGGTCCCTCATTCAGTTTGCACATTTACCAATTTCTCCATCCTTCAAGACTTCCACAAATCCAACAATAATTTTAGCCTCACGCTCTAGAATATTAGATCTACCTATTCCCTTTCAGTTAAACTTCCATCAAAAACTACCAAAGACTTCTTGGGGTTTTAATTCAGATGGAGTTAGGATTTTGGAAAGTGACAGAGTTGGGTTCACTTCTGGCATATTTAAAAAGAAGGATTCTTTTGAGACAATGTTGATTTTGGTTTTGAAGAAGAGAATCGGTTTTAGTTGGGTGTAAGATAAAGAAGTGCCTTTTTGGGGCAACGGGTCAGTTCAGAAAAGGTTTAACATTTTGGACTTCAAAAGTTAGGAGAGAGGCAGGAGAAAGGCGGAAATCAATTAATGACATGACACTTCAGCAACTTAAAAAGACATATAAGTATTGAAGAGACCAGTAATCTAAGTCGCAGGAACCAGGTTCCTTGACAGTTTTTGAAAATCTGAGCAAAGACTTCTAGAAGTGCAATATCACTCTTACTATTTTTATCCTGAAACTGCCATATGTGTATACCTGTAACAATATAGATATGAGTTAGATGTCGCCGAAAAACACTTTTTAGCATTTTACCTTTACTTCTTAATATAGCCAATCATCGAGGGACCAGGCCCCTCTGTGCCTTTTGGAGATTCTGCTGTATCTTCTACATTGCTCTGCTTGACTTGACACATCAAATCAGTCTTTCCATTTGCAATATCTATAGCTTCACCAGGAGCATTTGTGAGTTCTCCATCTTCATCTTCTTTGTTATGCGACCCTTTTCCACTATTGTTGAGAACAAAACATTTTGCATCCAAAGGCTCTCGGGTAAGTCAGCTTGAGTTTTCTCCCATTGAGCAGTTCATAGCGAGACTTCTCGAGAAGGGACCTGACCATGCACTTGTTAATCAAGTAGCAGGAAGTGTTGACTGCTTCAGCCCAAGAACCGGTCTTCCATAAACAACTTGCTCAGCAAATAAAAACTCACATGCCCCAGTCATCTACGCCATAACTCAGTATCATCATCAATGACACTTAGGCATGTTAGATCACCACCATTAAGTGAATCAAGGTCTGCAACATAGATGTTCTTGAATCTTTTGGCTATCAACACCACTTCACCAGTTTTGAGATTGGTGACAATGCAGTATTTGGACAAGAACTTCACTTTATTTTTCCTTATCACAGATTTGAGACACACTCAACAAGCTACATTTCAAGTCATTCACGTAGTACACATTTTCAATTGCATGGGAGAGCATTTTATCAATTTTTCTAACACAAAGAATATAGCCTTCTTGTCGTTTCCAAAGGACTTACTCCCACCTTGGAAGGCCTAGAGTGAGAGGATATCATTCATTCTTCTAATTTTATGCTTAAAGCAGCCACTATCCATGTACCATTTTTGTTTTTGACTGCTACCTCTCACTTCAGCCTGCACACTAAATCAATGATTAGACTTAGGAACACAAGCCAGCTTGGGTCCCTTATAATGATAGAACGGGCGGATCAAACTTCTTTTTGCCCATGCAGGCAGCACATATTTTCTTTTTCAGGGAACCAGGTTCCTCATCAGTACGCCTCTTTTCAACAAAAAACTTTGTTTTTCTGCAAAGACTGAATTTTAACTTTACAAGAGTCCTTGTAATGACCAGTTTTGACCACAGTGAGTGCACAACCTATTATCAGCCACAGTTACATACTTACTATGGGGATTATAGGAGGTTTTGGCCTTTTGGAACCCGATGCCTTGCCTGTTTCCACCATTACTCCAGTACATAGACGTTATTACATCAGAGGATCGGGTCCATTTAAGTGACTTATCAAGATCATTTTTAACCCTTTTTAAATCCTCCTGAAATTGTCTATTCTTTTCAAGCTCAGCAACAAGACTTGTTTTAACTTTCTTAAGCTCACTCTCAAGCTCAAGTTGAACCTCACTAGCCACTTCTTTACCCTTAGTGTTGTCCATCCATTTTATTGTTTGTTTTTTCAACAAGTTATGTTCTCTAGTTACTTCTTCCACTTGTTCCTTTAAATCTACAACGGAAACTACCATATCATCCCTCTCTTGTTCTATGTCACCAATTTCTTCTATTAAAGCATTTTTCTCATTAATGAGGCTATGAAAGGAATCAATCAACACATTTGCTAAGGACATCCATTTTTTGTTAGAGTAAGTTTTTAAATTTCTTTGAACATCAAAAAAACTTACCTCATCTTCCTCCTTGTCCTCGTCATCATCAGATTTAGCCATGAGTGCAAAGATTGACTCATATTCATTGTCAACAACCATCATAGATGCATCTCCTTGGTCATCCTCACCTTCAGATTCACTAGAGGAATCTCCCCAGTCAGCCAAAGCTTGCTTCACCATATTGTCAGCAACATCTCTTCTTTTGAATTTTCTGTTAGGGACCGGGTTCCTCTTAGCTGCCTTATCAGTGTTGGTTTTGTAATGATCCTGCTTATGAAGAGGGCATACTTTAATAAAGTGTACAGGCTTTCCACACTTATGACAGCAATCATTTCCTTCGAAATTCCTGGTTGAACTTCCTTTCTTTGGGATCCCACCATTTTTACGAACCATCTTTTGAAATCTTCTAGTGAGATACGTCATTTCAGATTCATCACTACTTGAGTCAGTGAGGGCAGCTTTGAGGACCAGGTTCCTCTCCTCATTGGTCTCTCTTCTTTCAAGATCCTTCTTTCTCTTCATCTCATATGTTTTGAGATTTCCAATAAGCTCGTCAATAGTAAGCTTCCGCAGGTCTTTGGCTTCAGTGATAGCATTAACCTTGCTCTCCCAGGAACCTGGTAGAAGACTGAGTATCTTCCGGACCAGCTTGTTGGTTGGAATGATTTCACCAAGTGAATAAAGCTTAATAATTATGGAGGTGAAACGGGTATGCATCTCTTGAATGAACTCATGCTCTTCCATTTGAAAGAGTTCATACTCAGTTGTAAGCATATCTATTTTGGATTGCTTTACCTGAGTAGTTCCCTCGTGAGCCGTTTGAAGAGCTTCCCACATTTTATTGGCAGATTCGCATGCCAAGATACGATTATACTCGTCTGGTCCAATACCACACTCAAGAATCTTCTTCACCTTGAAGTTCTTCACAATAGCTTTTCGGTCAGCTCCGTTGTATTCTTTTCTTGTTTTTGGAACAGTCCTTGTTCCCTCTCCAACAGCCTTCATAGGGACAAAGGGACCATCACAAACCACATCCCAAAGCTCGGAGTCCTCATCCATTATGAAGTCATGCATTCTTGTTTTCCACCAAGCATAGTATCGGTTGTTAAATCTTGGTGGTCTGTATGTTGATTGTCCTTCCTCGAAGATTGGTGGAGCAGCCATGAAGATCCTTTCTACGTTTTAACCTTTTAGAAAGAACCTGCTCTGATACCAATTGATAGAAACTAAGCGTCCACCAGACTGTATAGAGAACCAGATTCTCTATCAGTTCCCACTGTAAGCAACTGACTGTAAAACCAACCAGTATAAGGAATCAGGTTCTCTAATTGTTCCCACAGTAACTCGGCAGTAAATAGAGAACACAGAGGATTTTTACGTGGAAAAATCCCAACTCAAGGGGACAAAAAACACGACCTACACTTGTAGGCTTTCAACTTCACTAACTTGTAAACACACTATTACAAGCCACTTTGTAATGAATCTATTACAAAGACTTCAACTCAACTAACTTGTGATACACTTACCACAAGCCACTTTGTCACTCACTAGTTACAAAGACTTCAACTCAACTAACTTGTGATACACTTACCACAAGCCACTTTGTCACTCACTAGTTACAAAGACATCAACTTATGACTAACTCTAGTCACAACACAAACTCAGAAAGTTTATGGTTTTACGAAGGGTTTCCTACACAATGCTTCTAACTAAGCTAAGTAGGAGTTACAAATAAAGAACAAATAACAAAGACTCAACAAACCTAAGGACTTAAGATATCTTCAATCTTTGGATCTGGTCCTTGAGGTTGCAGCAGCTTTGTTCTTGAGAGAGGTTGTGGCTAGCACTTGAGAGAATTTTTTTTTTTGATTTTGCAAGTGTTAGAGAGATCAGATCCCTTGACTCATGTTGATATATATGTGTGTGATGTCATCATGGATAATGTAATAAAGTGCCTTTTAGTTTGGTCTTAGCAAGCTACAGTTGTGCTGCTATACTGCTTCCAGACGGTACAGTGCAGTAGTCTGCCAGACGATACAGTGCAGCATCTTTTATAGCTGTAGAGTTGACTGTACAACGACGAGGAAAACTGATCCCTATCTAGTCCCTCTTCTGTTTCCTTATCTGATTTTTTTGAGAATTGAACCAGACATCTGACTAGTCATTCTAAATGCAAGGGAACCTAATTGTATCAGATTCTTTATCTTGTTCTCTCATGAAGTAAGTTGTTTACCTTCCTTGATTGTATTTATACATGTGTGACATCGCTTACAATGATGTAAAAAAGGCAGGTAAAAAGCCTTCCACAGAATGTTGACTACTGCACTGTTCCTGTACAGTAGCGTGTGCAGGCAGCAACTTTCCAGCTGGAGAGTTGACTTCATACAGTCTCCTCAAGAACTGGTAGGGACCTGTTCCCTCAGCTGTTCCTTCCACTCTGAAGAGTTGAGTTATATCCCACGTTGGATCCTAACTTGGAACTTTGTGATCTTAAGGTCTTGTAAATGTGTAACATGTTCCTTATCTGGTTCTGGATGGTAAGTTTGTTAGATCATCAAAACATAAAGTAAAGTACTTATGCCCAAAGCACTTGTAACCTATCATCAACTACATCATTAATATATATTTAAAAAGTTGTAGTTCTTTTTAATAGTATTGCTCAATTCTAAAAAAGCATTTAATAGGGATAACATAATAAAATATACCTTATATTATGATTTTCTTCGTAGGCATGGAAAGAACAAAAGAGACCATTAAAATGAGACATAAAGAGTAAAAAAGAAAGAGAAAATTGATTAAAGGGTGCAGTGTAGCCGCCAGAAGCATCAGTTAACAAATAAGCAAATTAGCTTATCTTAAGCTATTTTCGCTTGACAAGTAGAGAAATGAAGGGAAAAGAAATAGGAGAATAAAGGAAGAAGATAAAAGAAGAAATGGAAGAGAAAAAGGAACAAGAAAGAGGGGGACAACCCCGTCTTTCTGCATCTTTCGATCGTCAGAGTGCAGATGGATCCCCAACTGCAATCACAGGTACTTCACCAGTTTGTTCACATAATGCGTACGTGCAAATTGACTCCGGCTCTACGAATTTGTATGTTGCCCCATACTTTGCTAAGAACTTTGAGCCAGAATGTTAACCATTAAATGAGTTTTTTCTGGTCTCTACTCCAATTGGTGAGTCCATAGAAGCGACAATAGTTTACAAAAGTTGCACAATTTTAATTTATGGCTGTGATGCAACAACTGTCCTCATAGAACTAGAAATGATAGATTTTAATGTAACTATGGGTCGGGTATGGATTGGTTGTCGTCCTGCTATGCCATGTAGATTGTCGAGCAAAGTAATCAGATTCCAGTTCCCTAATGAAGAAGTCGTAGAACGGAAGGGTAAGTTTATTTCTTATCTTAGGGCCAAGAAAATGATGAGCAAGTAATGTTTAGTCTACCTGGCCCATGTCAGTAACCCAGAATCAAAAATTCCAAAGCTTCAGTCCGTTCTAATTGTTAAAGAATTTTCTAAAGTTTTTCCTAAAGAATTGCCTGACCTTCCCCAGAAAGGATAATAGATTTTTGGCATAGAGGTGCAGTCAGACACTAAGCCTATATGTATTCCTCCCTATAAAATGGCTCTTGAAGAATTGAAGAACTAAAGGAGAAATTGAAAGATCTTCGTGACAAGTAATTCGTCAGGCCAAGGGTGTCATCCTTGGATGCTTTAGGCCTTGTTTGTCAAAAGAAGGATGGTTCCCTCAGGATGTGTATCGACTACTGTTAGCTAAATGAATTTACGATTAAGAATAAATATGCATTGTCCAGAATTGACGATTTGTTTGATCGACTTCAGGGAGAGAAATATTTTTCAAAGATAGATTTGAGGTCTGGATACCATCAGCTTATAATCAAGGAATATGATATCTCAAAAATCGTCTTTAGAACTCGCTATGGGCACTACGAGTTTTAGTAATGTCTTTCATGTTGACCTATGCTTTAGCTGCATTTATGGATCATAAATCAGGTATTCAAGCCATATTTAGACACTTTATCATTTTGTTTATAAATGATATCTTGGTGTATTCCAGAAGCGAGGAAGATCATATAGAACACCTTAGGACAATTTTGGAGGTTTTGAAACATAATGAGTTGTATGCCAAATTTTCTAATTGTGAATTTTTGTACCTTGGCATTTCTAGGCCATGTGGTATCAAGCAAAGGGATAAAAGTTAATCCTCAAAAGATAGAAGTGGTCAAGGGTTGGCTAAGGTCGATGACATCAACAGAGATTTGGAGTTTCTTTATGTTAGTTGGTTATTATAGAAGATTTGTAAAATGCTTTTTACGCTAGCGATACCATTGACTAAGCTGACTGAAAGAGATGCAAAGTTATTGATGTTTTATACTTCAATACCACACAAGAGGGGGGAAGGGGTGGTTTGTGCGGTGTCAAGTTTTTTGTGTGCACAAATTATAGAAGGACCTGGTTCTTCTACGAGATCCATACACTGCAGTTGTGAAATAATAAATGTAAAAGTAAAGAACACAAGCATTTTTACGTGAAAAACACCCGGCTCAAATGGTGAAAAAATCACAACCTACTTCCCAGTAGGAGTTTTCCCAACACTTTACTAAATAACTGAGCCAAACAACAACGTTTACAAAACTCTTGTATACCTAAGGATTACCTCTAACCCTTATAGCAACCAACCACAGGCTGTTGCGACAACTTCAAGTTAACTCTAACTTGAACAATACAACTCAAGTACCCAATACAATTTGCTTCTAAGAAAGCTGAATGGTACAACTCAAAAGCCCCACTACAATTGAACTAGTATAAAAAAGACACACGGAACTAGTCTTATATCTAGTTCATGTAGCTCCAGGTTCGCACTCTTGAAACACACAGCAATTGCTTGCAAAATACCTTGCTATTTTGCTCTCTATTCTTGCTTAACTTCAGCATATGTGCATTACCTATAAAAGAGAACACAACTGATATATATGAGTTAGTAGAATAAGGATTAACTAGAGTTATAATGCTTTACTCTTCCATGGTGGAAGAGTTCTAGTTATCTTCAACTTCTAACTCCTCCTTTATCTAGGATAGAGTTCTCTTCAAGTAAGGAGTTCTACTCCTTATCAATTATGCAACCTATTCGTTCAGGAGATATCAGATATAATCATTTATGGTTATCCCCTCATATGCGTTCCTTGTGCTTGAATCAGTCCGTGCCTTGCGTACAATGTGTATGGACCTTGTTCATGCATGTGTTCCATTGTCAATCATCAAAAAAATACTTACTCAAGCCAACAAATCCCCCTTTTTGATGATGACAAACTATGTGCTTTTTATAAGCATGAAACCTATTTCAACTTAGCTCAACATCAACAATGTTAGAAAACTTTCCATTTTAAAGTCATAAATCACCAAGGACTAGGTACGTTAGGTTATAAACATCACACTCCAAGGTAAAATCACAATCTATCTTCCCCCTTTTGGCATCATCGAAAAGTTACATAATTAAGTTATATAATCAGATTTTAGCAGATCTTACTCATGACCATTGAGGCTACTTCAAATGCAATCATGGATTCAAGTTTCTCTTATCAATCTAAGTACATTAGCCATCTATGAAATATCAACAAATAATTAGAATAAAAGCAGTGATTATCATTGATAAGATTCATCCACAAAGCATATAAAGAAATAAAAGTACTGAACCATGAGCAAAGAGACAAAAAGAAACATCCCACTCGGGTGGTTACAAACTAGGATAAGAAGGGTTTAAGGCTAGGAAGGACCAGGTTCTTGATTTCTGGCCTGAAGCAACTTTAACATGTCATGAAGAATTCCTTCATTCTTCTCTTTCTCCTTTGCAAGCTCAGACCTAAGAGCACCCCTCTCGGTTTCTACTTCAACCAGCCTCTTCTTCAGTCTCCCAATCTCAGCATCCTTAGCCTCACTCTCCTGCTCCAAATCTCTCACTTTGCTTTTCGTGGGTACTATCTTGGATGAACCGGGTTCTTTGGGAGTAGTAAGGACTTCATAGTCACAGTCAAGTTAAGTGTTGGCCCCAAAGTAATCTTTACTTGTGCTAACATCCCATTTCTTATGGGGAACCTTGAAGTGAGCAAGCACATCAGTGAGTATGAACCCATAAAGTATGAAA